TTCACACAAGGCCCCCCTGGCCCCATCTTTGAAGGCCCTCCCTGCACACTTCACCCCTGCTCTACTCCTCCTCCCTCCTCCCCGCTCCCCTCAGGCACCCCCAATGTCCTCCCTCTCACCTGCTCTTTTCTTTACCTGTCCCCAATGTCATGAAACTGAAAGAGCAGCTGATTTGCACACCTCACTTCCAAGTGGGGACCCTCCTATCTTTGGAAGATTCTGCTAGAGCGGCTCCTCTCCGGACAGTGCAGACAACTCACTGACTTTATGACTCTGGGGGTCTGGGGGCCTTGGCGGAGATAATGGTGGGTACCTGAGGCTGCTGGTACCCAAAACTCAGCCCTGACCCCAAGCACAGCGTCACCTCCTCTCTGGGGGCTCTGCCCTGTACCCCCCTCCCCAGGTGTGTCAACCACTGTTTCCTGCCCCCACTTTCTTCTGGTGAAGTCCCAGTAGCTCTGTGAGTGCTCCCCGAGTCCAGAGCTGTCCCATCTCTGATTCCAGATACTGCCCAGGCAGGAGCCCCTCGCCAGGAGCCGAGACCTTCACGCAGGAGAGGGGCTCCCTTTGGTAGAAGCTGCACAGAAGCGGGGCGGTGAGTCTGACAACCCGCGGGACGGGGTCACGCTGGGTAACAGTGGGAAGGGGAACTGGGCCTGTGGGATTCCTGGGGTGCAGCGTCAGCTTACTGGGAAGGGACACGGAGTGCCTCCCAAAGCAGGATGGTGGGAGGTCTGTACAATTGTGGTCTTTATAAAAACCTTTTCTTAGGAGAAATACCCTGTGCCTTCAGCTGGAGGCATTTCTCTTTTGCCTGAAAACGCTCATATAATCGATCCCTTGACACATTTTGTTGTCATCGCCTCTGAAGATAATCTCATTCGTGGCTCCACCACACAAGTATCTTCTCATTTTGAGAGAAATACTTTATCCCAAACTGCAATGAAATAAAATAAATTGCATACAGGTAGTGAGTCCCACCTGGACATGTTACTTTTCCCTATTGTGGAACATTCATAAAACAGAGCATTAAAAAAAAACCCACCTTGGTGTTATTTTTCTAAAAAGACACATTAGATGTGTTTGGGAAGATGAAGAAAGAATATTCTGGAGATAAAGCCTGTTTGTTTATCATGTTATAGAGAACACGTTTTTATAATAAGGCCACTGTGGAGCTACCACAAAAGGTCACGTGTTTTAATACCCCTGTCTTTCCTACTGCCTGTGGCATCTCCACCGAATGAACCAGGGTTTGAGCTCTAGGTGAGATAGAAAGTGAAAGCCACAGTTGAACTATCAACTATGATCTTTGCCAGGACACTGGATTTATACTGACCTGTGGCACCTTGAGCTGGACAGGGAATTCCATTCTATTCTATTCTTCTTTTTCTTTTTGTAAAGGCAAGGAACTAGTCACAGGGAGGAGCTTTCAGTTACACAAAATTTTGTTTTATGAAATATCCTGGGCCCCATTCTTTATTTTGTCCTGCTCCTCCCATAGGTGTAGACAACTTTTAGGACTCTTGTATTTGGAAGCTGGAAGGGGCCAGACATTGAAGCATTGTCTTGTTTTCACTGTTTTATTTTTAATTAAAGCTATATACAGCTGTGGATTAAACAGAATAAATCTATAAATTTAAAAATGAAGAAAAGGGGCAAAAATTGTTTATTTGGGTTTCAAAGCTAAGCGGAGCACAGGTTCAGGCTAGAAATACAAACCCCCTCACTAAAAAAAAATGAGGTGACCTTGACATAACTTTCAATTTTGCTGCTCTGCCCTTGCCTGCATGAATAGCAGGAGGCCATGTTTCATCCTAAAATGTTTTTCTGTAACCACATGGAATTCTTAAGACTTTTTAAAAATTACTCTTCCCCTGCCAAGGAGCAAGGAGGTATAATTTTACCAATGGAGTTTTCATCAGCTTCTGTTACTGGTCCTGATAATGATAGGGAGTTGAGTATATTATAGAAAATGTGAAGAGTAGAATAAAATAGGATGAACAGTATCAAAAAGTACTCTTATGACTTAGCATGTTTCCTTCCTAGTTTTTCCCCAATATTTTCAATTGTGAAACAGAATGCCTGTGTAGAAGGTAGGTAATAGCTTGAGAATTATAAAATGAGCTTCCATTAAATAGGTCAAGGAATATAGTCACATCATATGATCTTCATCCATAAGGAAGCCTCTGTATAGCTGTCACTAATTTTTTTCTTTGCTCTTCACCACATATTCTAGGTATGTATCACTGCATGGATCATTAAAATATGATTTTAATTGTTAGGTGTTTAATATTTAAATTACTCACATTTCTGTCTTGGATGTCACTCAACAGTATGAAGGCAAGAGTAGTCCACATTTTGGATGCAGCGAGACTGTTTATTCTCACTGCTGTATAACAGGCCACTCGATGCAGTTGTTTACATTGTGTTCTACTCACACATAAGGGGTTAGGAGAGGACGTTTCATTAATATTTTCCTTCTGTGGTGGAATGACATCAGTGCTAGAATTTTCCAGTTTCAACATTTAACATTAATATAAGGACTTCCCACATCATTAAAAACTATTTAGTGTTACTGTATCTAGTTTTGTATTTAATTTTGTATATATTGGCGGTTTTTATTTAGTTTCAAATCATTTTACTGTAAATAAAATGTTAATGAACATTTTTGCACATAATGATTTTTTATCTGAATTTGAGAACATTTCCTTAGGTCTATCCCAAAAATAAAGTTACTATTTCCATTGAAAATATAAGTGTTTTAGGGCCTCCCTGGTGGCGCAGCGGGTTGGGCGCAGCGGGTCGAGCGCAGCGCGGTGAAGCTGTCCGCAGCCTCTGTCAGCGCCGGTTGGATCCCCGCGGCCTCCGAGCAACCCACATGGCGAGCAGACCCCTCCCGGCTCCCCGCTGCGCCCCTCAGCAGTGTGTTTCGTCTGCCTGTTCTGCTCCCCGCTCTGTCGCTGGTGAATCCCCTCGCCCTCCCGCACCTCTGGCCTGTACCCCGGCTGTTATGTAAATAAATAAATCTTTAAAAAAAAATAAAATATAAGTATCTTAAATTCAAAGTTCCCTGCGGAGGGGTTGTGAACTTATTTCTCAGGAATCATGAGGACAGATTTCCTCTCCTGCCATCATTTGTTCTGTCTCGCTTTGCTGGTCAAGCCTCCCGCCCTCCCCCTGCGTCGCGGCGCGCGGGCCTGACTAGTCTCGGCTCCGGCCATTGTCCCGCACGGCGGGCGGCGCTTTCAGTCCTCCCACAAGTCCTTTATCAGCCTTTTGCTGTATGGGCCCTTTAAGTGCGCCCTTGGCAGTGACGTCATCATTCTGAGACTCCCAGGATGCTCCAGGCCGAACGTCAAAGGCCGCGCCAAGAGCGGCTCCTGTGGGGCGAAATAAAGAGGCGAGATGAGCGAGTGTCTCCGCCTTGTGGACCGGGGTGGTATCGTGGGAAAATCTCTTCCCGAAATTCAAGTGGGACCGGAAGTGGCTGCGCAAAGAGCGGCTCATGGGGGGGTCAAAACAAAGTGGTAAGAAAGCAAGTGTCTCCGCCTTGTGGACTGGGGTGGTATCGTGGGAAAATCGCTGCCCGACATGGCAGCTGCACCAGAAGTGGCTGTGCCAACAGCGGCTACTGGGGGGGACGAAATAAAGCGGCGAGATGAGCAGGTGTCGCCGCCTTGTGGACCAGGGTGGTATCGTGGGAAAATCGCTGCCCTACAAGGCAGCCGGACCAGAAGCGGCCGCGCCAAGAGCGGCTCCTGTGGGGCGAAATAAAGCTGCGAGATGAGCGAGTGTCTCCGCCTTGTGGACCGGGGTGGTATCGTGGGAAAATCGCGTCCGGAAACGCAAGTGGGACCGGAAGTGGCTGTGCAAAGAGCGGCTGGGGGGGGGGGGCAAAATAAAGCGGCGAGAAAGCAAGTGTCTCCGCCTTGTGGACCGGGGTGGTATCGTGGGAAAATCGCGGCCCAACACGGCAGCTGGACCAGAAGTGGCCGCGCCAACAGCGGCTACTGCGGGGGGGGCGAAATAAAGCGGCGAGATGAGCGAGTGTCTCCGCCTTGTGGACCGGGGTGGTATCGTGGGAAAATCGTGGCCACAAACGGCAGCCTCCGGGAGCTGGCTGCGCCGAGAGTGGCTCCTTGGGGTCGAAATAAAGCGGCGCGAAGAGCGATTGTCGCCCCCTTGTGGACCGGGGTGGTATCGTGGGAAAATCACGGCCCAAATGCCAGCCGGACCGGAAGTGGCCGCGCAGACCGGCTCCTGGCGGTGTAACGAAGGCGCGGGTGGAGTTGGTGTCGCCGCCTTGTGGCCTGGAGGGATAATGTGGGTGGAAAACGCAGAATGATGATGGCAGTGGGATGAGTAAGGTAAAGCGCCAGGAGGGGTGAGAAAGGTGGAGAGTAAGGTGGAAACGGCAAGAGGAACGAGATGAAAGGGCCAAGCTCGGAATAATGTATGGGCTGGACTGTGAATTAAGATGCAGTAAGTGTTTCAGGGAATAGAAAGGGCAGTGAGGACCATGTGGAAAACAACGGGGGACGGCGCCGCCTGGTGGCCATCAGTAGCGAGACAGCAAATCCCTGCCAAGTGGCCAAAGGGGAGGATAGAAAAGCCCAGGTGGCCAAGCTCGGGTACCAGGAGGGGGCCTGTGGGGGCAGCGTCAAGTGGGAACAGCCATGACAGCCCACGGGGAAGGGGCGGCCCGGGGGAGAGGCAGGAGCAGCAGGGCGTGGGGGGAATTTGTGTCCAGAACCTTCAAGAGGAAGACTGAATAGACTGTTAGTGAGGCTAGGAAATCTGTCCTCACTATTCTTGAGAAATAAGTTCACAACCCCTGTGCAGGGAACTTTGAATTTAAAATATTTACATTTTCAATGGAAATAATAATTTTATTTCTGGAAATGACCTAAGGAAATGTTTTCAAATTCAGATAAAATTTTTTTGTGTAAAAATGTTCACCAACACTTTATTTACAGTAAAATTATTTGAAACTATCTAAATGAAAACCCCCAATATATACAAAATTAAATGTAAAAAGTAGACAGATACAGTAACACTAGTTTTTAATGATGTGGAAAGTACTTATATTGCAATGTTAAATGATGAAGTAAAATATAAAATTCTAGCGATGATGTAAGCATACTCTCCTTAACCCTTATGCATGAGAACACAATGTAAACAACAACTGTACATCGAGTGGAGTATTATACAGCAGTGAAAAGTCTCAAGCTGCATCCAAATTGTGGACTAGTCTTGCCTTCATACTGTTAAGTGACATTCAAGACAGAAACAGAACATGATTTAATTTATTTAAATATTAAATGACAAAATTAAAACCACATTTTAATGATACATGCAGTGATACATACCTAGAATATGTAGTGAAGAGCAAAGAAAAAAATTTAGTGACAGCCATATAGAGGCTTCCTTATGGAGGAAGATCATGCTATGATGTGATTTTACATTTCTTGACCTATTTAATGGAAGCTCATTTTATAATTCTCAAGCTACTACCTACCTTCTACACAGGCATTCTATTTCACAATTGCAAATATTGGGGAAAAATCTAGGAAGGAAATGTGCTAAGTCATAAGAGTACTTGTTGATACTGTTCATCCTATTTTATTCTACTCTTCACATTTTCTACAATATACACAACTCCCTATCATTATCAGGACCTGTAACAGAAGTTGATGAAAACTCCACTGGTAAAATTACCTCCTTGCTCCTTGGCAGGGGAAGAGTAATTTTTAAAAAGTCTTAAGAATTCCATGTGGTTACAGAAAAACATCTTAGGACCTCCGTGGTGGCACAGGTGGTTGAGCACCATACTGTGAAGCTGTTTGTAGCCTCTGCAGCGCAGGTTCGATCCCAGCTGGCAGGCGAGATTCTCACATGGCACAGCAGACCTTCCCTGTCTCGCCTGCTGCTCCTCTCAGCAGTGTATTTCTTCAGTTTGCCTGTTCTGTTCCCCGCTCTGTCTCCAGTGAATCCTCTCACCCTCCTGTGCATCTGGCCTGTACCCTGCTTCTTGTATAAAAATAAATAGATCTTTAAAAAAGAACAAAACAGAGAAACATTATAGGATGAAACATGGCCTCCTGCTAGTCAAGCAGGCGAGGGCAGAGCAGCAGCATTGGGAGTTAATGTCAAGGTCACCTCATTTTTTTTTTTTTTAGTGAGAGGGTTTGGGTTTCTAGCCTGAACCTGTGCTCAGGCTAGCTTTTAAACCCAAATAAACATGTTTTGCCCTCTTCTTCTTTTTTAAATTTATAAATTTATTCTGTTTAATCCACAGCTATATATAGCTTTAATTAAAACAAGACAGAAGACACAACTTCAAAGTCTGGTCCCTTCCAGCTTCCAAATAAAAGAGTCCTGAAAGTTGTCTACACCTACGGGAGGAGCAGGACAAAATAATGAATGGAGCCATGATACTTCATAAAACAAAATTTTACATAGCTGAAAGCTCCTCCCTGTGACTAGTTCATTGCCTTTACAAAAAGAAAAAAAAAAGAACAGAGGGGCCTCCCTGGGGGCGCAAGGGATTAAGATGCTGTACTATAAAGCTACCACCAGTCACTGCAGCACAAGTTTGATTCCTGGCCAGGGATCTACCCCACATGGCAGAGCAGACCTCTCCTGTCTCCCCACTGTTCCCCTCAGCAGTGTGTTTCAGTCTGCCTGTTCTGCCCCCCACCCTGTCTGGTGAATCCTCTCACCCCCCATCTCTGGCCTATACCCCAGTTCTTGTATGCATAAATATTTTTTTAAAGATTTATTTATGCATACAAGAACTGGGGTATAGGCCAGAGATGTGGGGGGTGAGAGGACTCACCAGAGAGAGTGGCTAACAGAACAGGCAGATCTAATGAAATACACTGCTGAGGGGAGCAGTAGGCAAGTCAGGAAAGGTCTGCTGCGCCATGTGGGGCAGCTCACCCCAGTTCTTGTATGCATAAATAAACATATTTTTTAAAGATCTATTTATGCATACAAGAACTGTGGTACAGGCCAGAGATGCTGGGGGTAGGGGGAGGGGTGAGAGGACTCACCAGAAACAGAGTGGGGAACAGAACAGGCAGATCTACTGAAATACACTGCTGAGGGGAGCAGTGGCGAGTCAGGAGAAGTCTGCTGCACCATGTGGGAAGGTCCCTTGTTGGGGATCAAACTCGTGTTGCACGGCTGCAGACAGCTTTACAGGTTGTGTCTTAACCCACTGCACCACCAGGGAGGGTCCTAAATAAATCTTAAAAAAAAAAAAGAATAGAACAGAATAGAATGAAATTCCCGTGTCCAGCTCAAGCTGTCACAGGTCAGTATAAATCCAGTGTCCTGGCAAACAAGATCACAGTTGATTGTTCAACTGTGGCTTTCACTTTCTGTCTCACCTAGAGCTCAAACCATGGTTCATTCAGCAGAGACCCCACCAGCAGTAGGGAAGACTGTGGCATTAACACACTCACATGCACTTGTGCGGCAGCTCCACAGTGGCCTTACTGCAGGGCAAGCTTGCAAACCACGCAAGGTCAGGAGCACCAAGAAGAGAGAAAGAAAGTCCCCTCTGGGAACCATACAAAGGCCAACAATATTTAAACCCCCATTTAAAAAAGGGTTTTTTTTCCCCCTCAAAATATTTCACTCCAAATGAATTTGTAAGCTGTCAAGGGAAGAATGTGCCTCACACACCGCAGACACCTTCGCAGTGTCTGCCCTCCCCTCAATGCCCCCTTTTCTCACATGGTGAATTTCAACCGAGCAATTACAATAAATGTTAAGAGTCTCAGGCTCAACACATTTCAGCAATTTTGAAACCAAACTGGGTACAAACCAAATAAAATTTGTATCATCACAAATATTTCCACTGAGACTGTGGGGACATGTGAGGCTTCCACCTGGACCTCAGAATTTTTAGGTTAACTGTTTTTCGAGAGGACATGGAATATGTTTGCCTCCATTTCCATTTGAATTTACAAAATGTCATCAGCGCCTGCAAGGGCTGTGGCGGAGAAGCTTGAGATGCCTCAGTCTTCCCTGGAAGGGGTCCCTGACACACACCCGGGGAGGTCGGGCAGGGCCACCTGGAAGTAGCTGAGACTCACCCTTGAGAGAGTCAGTCAGGCAGATGGGGGCTTGAGGAGAGAGCGTGCCAGTGAGGCACACACGGGCAGGATGAAGACCTGGGGCCAGCCCAGCCCAGGCAGAGGCGATGCGCCGTTGCTCCTGCCAGCAAGTGAGCCGGCGGGCCCAGCCTCAGCGAGGACAGCCCCAGACGAGCGAGCCTGGCCTGGCGCGCAGTGGCGGGTGCCACCTAGGCTGTGGGCGTCATTGTCACGTGACCAGGGCCTGGGCTGTGACCCGGCTCCACCTTTATTGCCTGTTTCACGTTCCGATTTAAATCTTACATTTGCCTCCTGTGCACACCATGCCAGTGCTGTACAGGGACGTCAGTGCCACTCAAGGGACAGCTGTCTGGTCCCCGTGGCGTGTGGCAGGAACGCCCTCCTCAAGGCCAGTGAAGGAATCCGGGGCAACACCTGGCGTCATAACAACGTGATCAACATGCTTTATCACCCGGACAGCCTTTCATCTCCCCCAAACACCTCTAGTGTGTCCTTTTAGAAAAATAATACCGAAGTGGTTTTTTGATGCTCTGTTTTATGATGTTCCACAATAGGGAAAAGTAACACGTCAGGGGGGACTCACTACCTGTATGCAATTTATTTTATTTCATTGCAATTTGGGATAAAGTATTTCTCTCAAAATGAGAAGATACTTGTGTGGTGGAGCCACGAATGAGATTATCTTCAGAGGCGATGACAACACTGATCATGGTTTTTATTAACACAGATTCGCTTTTCATTTATGCGTCAGAAACAAAGCTCTGGCATCTGAGTGTCACTTACCTGAGCTTCCTGGTCACCCTGAGCTTTGTCAACATCAGGGGCGCTGTTCATTAGCCTGAAACAGAAAACATGTCACGGGATCGATTATATGAGCGTTTTCAGGAAAAAGGGAAATGGCTCCAGCTGAAGGCACAGGGTATTTCTCCTAGGTTTTTATAAAGGTTTTTATAAAGACCACAATTGTACAGACCTCCCGCCATCCTGCTTTGGGGAGCACTCCGTGTCCCTTCCCAGTAAGCTGACGCTGCACCCCAGGAATCCCACAGGCCCAGTTCCCCTTCCCACTCTTACCCAGCGTGACCCGGTCCCACAGGTTCTCAGACTCACCACCCAGCCGCTGTGCAGCTTCTGCCAGAGAGAGCCGCTCCCCTGCACAAAGGTCTCAGCTCCCGGTGGGCCACTCCTGCTTGGGTGGACTTTTACCCACGAGGGGACGGGTAACTTTGGGTACTTGATTTAAAAACTATATCCTTTGTCTTTCCTGTATTGTTTTCCAATTGTATTAAAGTTCCTTCCCATTAAAGTCTCATATGTTTTATGCTAATGTGGCGGATGACAGAATCTATTTAGAGCGGGCAGGTTTGCGGGGTCTGGGGTGCCCCTCTCCCTGCCCTGTAACAGATTGGTGAGGGGCTCCCGCCCGGGCAGGATCTGGAATCAGAGATGGGGCAGCTCTGGACTCGAGGGAGCACTCACAGAGCTACTGGGACTTCACCAGAAGAAAGGGGAGGACAGGAAACAGTGGTTGACACAGCTGCGGGGGGTACAGGGCAGAGCCCCCAGAGAGGAAGGCGATGCTGTGCTTGGGGTCAGGGCTGAGTTTTGGGTATCAGCAGCCTCAGGTACCCACCATCATCTACGCCAAGGCCCCCAGGCCCCCAATGTCATAAAGTCAGCGAGCTGTCTGCACTGTCGGAGAGTGGTGCCATGCCAGCCAAGATGTCCAAAGATAGGCAGGTCCCCACTTGGAAGTGGGGCCCGTGAATCAGATGCTCTTTCAGTTTGTGACACTGGGGACAGAACAGGGAGGGCCTTGGGGGTGCAGTGAGGGGAGCGGGGAGGAGGGGGAGGAGCAGATCAGGGGTGAAGTGTGCAGGGAGGGCCTTGAAAGATGGGGTGGGCGGGCAGGCCTTGTGTGAAGGTGCAGATACCAGCAGGGTCCTCCAGGCCTGAGACCACCTTCGAGGCTCCTGCTCTGGCCACCCCTGGGGGCACACAGAATAGAGTACCATGTGGCCTCGGGAGCAGGTGTTAAAGGGAGGCTTATGATAAAGGTGAGCCTGCTTGCCCTCAGGGGCTCCCCCATTGGGGGGATGGGGGGGGAGATTACAGGAGACAGGACTCTGCAGGCCAAACATCCCAACAGAGGGAGGAGAGACATTCCCCAAAGACATGGACCCCTGAACAGCACTTGGGGTCAGCCTACGGATAAGGCCCTTCCCCCATACCCAGTTACTATTACTTTGTTAATTTCAGTTCATTTTGATCTGTGGTGCGTGACCTAATAAGTCTTTCAAGGAATGGGAGCCAGTTCCCACTGTCAGTGTTTTCATGTTAGTCAACTGAACAGATAAACCTCCACATTCTAGCGTCTAGGCATATAATCCAAAAACATACTATCCCTTGCCATAAATATTCTGACCTACTTATTTTGTAGCAAACATTTTCCAAAGCGTTCAAAGATGACATGCTGCTTACTCGGCAAATCTGCACATTTGAGCTTAAACATACGTGGCAGTTACTAACATTCTACAGCTGAAAAACTTAATTTTCCATTAAATTTGTGGCAACATCCTGGGTTTCTCCCAGGGCTGCCACTGGTGCAGAAAACCTGTCAGTGCATCAGCGCAGTCTGCGCAGGGATTACTCAAAAGATGGTTTCAGCCAAGAATAAGCCCAGATGCCTCAGTGTGCAGAGATAAGAGTCTGGGGGTCAGGACACACAAGGTCTTTGGCGACTAACAAAAAGACAAACCAATTTGAAAAGTGACCTGAGGACTGGAATAGTCTCCTCCAGAGGACGCGGACCAACGCCCCCACCGCACCCGAAGAGCCTGTCAGCATCGCCAGTTGCCACAGAAACACAAAACTAAACCCAGGGCCTCCCTGGCGGCGCAGGGGCTAAGTCACAGCACTAGGAAGCTGTCCGCAGCCCCTGCAGCACGAGTTCCATCCCCGGCCAGGGAGCTACCCACAGGGCGCAGCAGACCTCTCCTGTCTCCCCGCTGCTCCCCTCAGCAGTGGATTTCCGTACATCTGCCTTTTCCGCTCCCCACTCTGTCTCTGGTGAGTCCTCTCACCGCCCCCCCCATACTTCTGGCCTGTACCCCAGCGCTTGTATGCATAAATAAATCTTAATAAAAAAAAAAAAGAAAACTAAACCCACCCCCGCTTCACGCTACGACGGGAATGAGGGAGAACACTTTAAATCACCAACACGCGAAGCTCGCCTGGAAGGGACAAGGCTGCGTCTTTCCCAGCGAGTTGCAGACGGCGCCGGCCGCTGCTTGGGCGACCCCACTCCGGACCGACGCCCCGAAGAACTGGAAACAGGTGCTGAAGCTCCAATTTGCACACAACCATGTACAGCCGGGCCACAGTGGGGTGAAGTGGGCCTTCCCCTCCGGGGCGGAGAGGGGGACACCCCAGCCCCGCCCCGCGCGCCCACGGGCACCCGCGCTGCCCTCCCGCTGCTGGGCCTGGGGCGGGAGGGGGCTCAGCCCGGAAAGTCTACAATGTGCGCCCCGAACTCCACCCTAAACCCGCGGAACAGTGGGGAGCCCGACCCGGGTGCGCCCTCAGGGCCCCCAGGAGCCGGCAGCGAGCCCGGGCTCAGGGCCGACCCGACCGTGCGCTCCTCCGGGCCCGACATGAGCCCCGGAGCCCCGCGTCCAGCCCTTCCCCGCCGGCCCGGCGGCCCCTGCCACATCCCGCGGCCTGGCCTCACCCGCCCCGTCCAGCTCGCCCGCCCCCGCCACGAGGCCCCGGGCCGGGGCGCACAGGGCGCCTCCCCGCCGGGCGCTGGGCCGGTCCTCGCCGCGACTTCACCTCAAGTCCCGCGAACCTGGCGCGGCGCGAGCGCGGGGCGGCGGGCGCATGCGCGGCAGAGGGGCGCAGGCGCGCGCAGGTGCGGTGGGCGGGGCGAGTGCAGAGACGTTCCCGTGGCCACGCCCCTCGGCCGGGCTGGGCCCTCGCGCTGGAGCGGGGCGGGGCCGCCGTGGCCGCCGCGGGGCCTGTGCCCACGACGCGCCGGGCGGGAAGGGCGGGAAGGGCGGGACGCGCCTGTTTGGATGTGAAACTTCAGGGCGCGTGAGCTCAGCCCGGACACCCAAACCCCGCACTAAAAAGCGAGGTCGCCGGGACACTGAGCTTCCAGGTGCCGCTGCTCTGGGGACCCTGGGGGCGCCCCGAAGCCCACGCTGCCGCCCGGACCCCCGCGGGCTCTCCGGACGCGTAGACCCGTCGCCGGCGGCTTGTCGTGGCCCCGGGCGGGCGGGGCGCTCGCCGTGATTTCCAGCAGCTTTAGCTGACCGGGTCTGGCCCTAAAAGGGCGTGTGTGCATTATAGAAAATTTGAAAAGTAATAAAAAGCATAATGAACAATATTCAACTGTGATTCTTCCATCAGAAGTTACTTTTATGAGCTAGCTTATTTTATTCCCAGTATTTCCCAACTTTTTAAATTGTGAAATATAGCATCTGTATAAGGGTAGATGGTACCAATGTAGAGTTTGAGAATTATAAAATGAACTCCCATTAGCCAGGTCGAGAAATAGCAAATCACATCATATCATAATCTTCCTCCATAAGGAAGCACCAATATGACTTTCATTAAAATTATTTGCTTTGCTCTTCATTTTAATATATCATCTATGTATGCATAATTAAAACATGATTTTAATTTTGTCTGGTATTTAGAATTTAAATCAAGTCATATTATGTTTATTTTATATCTTGATTCTTTCACTAAACAATATGAAAGGAAGATTGGCCCACATCATTGGATATAGCTAGAACCTAATTATTTTCACTGCTGTATAATATTCTGCTTGATGCATTTTTCCATTTTATTCTACACACACACAAGGGTTAACAACATCATATTTCATTGATTTTTTCCTTCTTTTGTGATACTATATTATCTCTAGAATTTTATATTGTACCTTCATTTAACATCGTACCATGAGTATTGTTCACATCATTAAAAACTTAAGAATCTTGGTATCAATTGCTACATTTCATTTGTGTATATACTGTAATTTATTTAACCAGTTCCTAGGCTTTTCATTTTAATTTTCAATTATTTGCTACTGTAAAGAAAATGCTGGTGAACGTTTTTATACAAAAAGATTTTTATCTGTATTTCCAAGCATTTCCTTAGGCCATGTCCCCCAAATAGAAAGATGTATCAAGCAGTATAAATATGCTAAATTCACAGTTCTCTGCAGAAGAGATACTAATTCAATCTTTCTCAGGAATGAATGAGACTACATATTTCACCTTGCCCTTGCCAACATTTCATTTTTTTCTATATGAAAAGAAACAGGCAGGGGCAGGAGCAGTGGTTACACTGCAGTTGGATGTAGAAATTAGAGGCAAAGAGGTTCTGGGAGGTCTACAGTCTGGAAGCTCTTTCCAGGATGTCTGCACACATCTTCCCAATAACTGTTTGCCAACGTCTTGCCAAGAGAAGGACTCCATGAGTCTGGGTCTCTAGATGTCTGGAGCCTCAATTACATTCCTGGCCTTTCAAGCCTGATGCTTCCATTTTACAATTTCAGCTGTCTGACTAGAGCTGGTCAAATGCCAACCAGACTCTTCCATTTTATGATCCTTAATCATCTCAAAAACAAACCCCGGCCTCTGCTGAGGTGATGAGGCCTTGCTGGTGGTGGACTCGGGGGAGCCACGGCCAGTGCTGACTTTAGCAGGGCCTGGTGCTAGTCCTGGAGGGCGACGCGGCTGGACATTGGGGCTGGTCTGCAGGCTTCAGGCCACTGGGCCCTGGGGCTTTTGTGTCAGGGCCACTTGCCTTGTGCTCTGCTGCTTCCCGCTCTGCCTCAGCCCAGGTCTGCAGTTCCTAACACACAAGACCGACCAACAGGCGCTCTTCGACAGAAGTTGGATAAAGGAACCGCGGAATGCAAAATCAAGGGGTTGCTGCTCGGCCATGACAACTATGAAGTGGTGTCCTTGGGGACAACATAGATGGGACTTTAGCTGATTCTGCTGAGTGAAATAAGTCAGAAAGTGAAAGACAATTACTGGGGAGTTTCACTTATTTGTGGAATATAAATAAGCAAACAAACTGGTAAAACACACCAAAAATAACTCAAAAACTGAAAAATATGGTGGTTACCAGAGGGGAGGTAAGGAGGGGAGGGATGGAGGGGCAGGTCCTGGTCCCCAAGCGGCTGTGGAGGGTCGTGATGACTGACAGATGAGTGACATTTGTAGGGAAACCCAAGAAAATGAAGGGGTGAGTATTCTTCTCTTTTCAAGAAGGACACAAACTCCCTTTAACCTGCCCTAACTGAACTTTCCACCGTGCTGTCCTTGCAGAGTTTGCTGACCTGGTCCCGGCTGCACAGCCCCAGGGAAGGTGTCCGGCCTCTCCGGCGGGTCCACAGCTGCCCAATGTCCTGGGCTGACATGAGCATTTGGGGGGTGGGCAATGGGTGCTGCAGCTCTTGGGGACACTGGGGATATGGATTGAGGTGGTGGTGGTGGCCATAGGATCATCCTTGACCTCCCCTCATCCCCTCACAGAGACGGCCCCACAATTCTCCTGGGTCTGTCTCTCCCTGCCCCTGCCCTGAGAAACCCTCTTAAAAAATTGCTCTTTTTGGCCAGACAGTCCTTCCAGCCCGAGCGTGAAGCGGAAACACAGCCGTCCCTCCCACTCCACCACTTCTCACGCAGCGCCAGGGTGTCTGCCCTGGGTGGGCTGGAGGCTTTGGGAGGAAAAATGGGGAACTGGCAGGTTTCTCTTTCTCTGCTCAGCCAGGGTCACCTGGAGGTTTTTATAGGTTCTCGCCAGACCCAGTGACTCAGCAGCTGGAGGCTGCTCCCCACCAGCACCACAGCAGCTCTGCTTGTCTCTCTGCTTGTCTCCTGCGGCCCTTTCTGGCCTGCGGCGGTGGCCCGCAGTGTGGCCTCCTCATCACCTCAGTCTAAGCCCAGGTGCCGATGCTCTGGCCCAGCCACTGTCCTCCCTGCCCACTCACCATGGCCTGGATGGCTGGTGCCCAGCAGGGCATGAGGGAGGCCGGAGTCCCTGGCACAGGAGGCCGCATTTGTCCTTCACAGAACCACGACCTCAGGCAGGGCTGTGACCCGAGGTGGAGGGAGGTCTCCTAGGAGGAGGGGAGCGTCAGGGGCTTCCAGGGGCACCATCTCCGCTCCCCCTCAGCTGCCAGGAGAGCCATGTCTGCCTAGCCGCAGTGCTGTCCTCAGAAGCGCTCAGAGGCACACTCACCCTTCTGCTCCCGCGCACTCTGGGCCAGATGCGGGCCTGGAGGGACACACCAGTGAGAGTGGGTTGTGTCCCTGCCACCAACAGCCTTCTGTGGCCACCCCCACCCCGACTCACCAAGACAGAGCAGGGCGGGAGATGTGACTCACGGCCTGTGCGGCCTGCTGCTGTTTTGAGGAAGGATTTTGTGGAAGGGGGAGACCACAGGAAGCTGTGGGCTGGCCTCAGGCCTCACCACACTTGCTCCTGGTGGGGCTGCAGCCCGCAGAGGCATGGGTGGCTCAGAGTAAATATAAAAAGTTTAAAAAATGGATAATATCAAACAAAGTTTTTACTAGTTTACCTAGCACACAGAGAATGGAACCCTTACTACCTATTACTTTAACAAGTGTATTCCCAATACGTGACATAATGCCAATAAAAATTTCACTAGCAAAATATTTTAAAATTAAAATAAAGGAGTTAATTAATTAACTAAATTAAAATTACTTAGTTTATTATTTAGTTTATTTCAGGAGTTTAACCTGAAATAAACAACACAGATACTTCCTCTCCAGAAGCAGACAAATAGACAATAAAAAGACTTGGGTAAGCCAGAATCTTCTCTAATCTTTGCATAACCAGGTCGTCAATGTAGCAAAAGAAACCCTATTTGCTGTGTGGGGAGCAGCATCAGACCCCAGGAACTACATAAATGCCCTGCCAGGCTCTCAGAGACACTGAGCTCTCAGCTGGAGGCACAACTGCACACACATGTCAGGTCACACACTCCCCATGGCTCCCTCCAGCCTGCTGTGGGCCCTGGTGGCCTTCACCTGCTCTGGTAGGCCCGGGGCCAGTTGGGGGTGGGGAGGATGGGAGGACAGCACTGGGCACATGGCCGCTTGGCATGGATGAGGAGGGAAGGCTGCCTGGGGAAAGCAGGCTTGTGATGACTTCAATGTGGCTAATTATTGGCAATTAAGACTCAATCCACTCTTATAATAATTAACTGCATCAGGTCTGTTTTCTGATTCTCCCACAGGATCCAGTATGGCCCACAAAATTATTCAAGACCAGCCAGCTATAGCCATGCAAGTGGAAGAAGCAGTCACCCTGAATTATCGGTATGAAACAAGCCTGAATACATATGCCATTTTTGTGATACAAGCAACTTCTCAATGGAGAGATCAATTTCCT